CCCAGTCTCTCCTTGGGGCCCGGTCCCTCTCGTCTCCGCCCCTCGTACCTCCTAGCGGTGCCTCTGTGCTGCGGGCCACTTCCCCTTCCCTGCCCTCTTCTAGGTCCGCAGGGTCCTCCCCTCTTTGCGTTTCTCCTCACGGTCCCCGGGATTTGCAACCGGCTGCTTCCGTCGTCATAGTTGTTACGTTTTCTCTGCGCCGGAAGGAGAACCCGCGAACGCTTTAGGAATTATGGCGGCGGTGGATATCCGAGGTAATCTGTGCTGTTAGCCTTTGTTTCTTGATTGAGGTCTGGTTTGGGGCTTTATAGCTCGTGGGGGCAAAGTTCAGGTTCCTTTGTGATGTCTCCAAGCTCTTTTTCTGTGGACGACCCAAGGCTTTAATCGGCTTAGTTTTTACCTGTTCCTTGGCGTCTTTCACAAGTGTCGAAATGAAGGGATTGGTAAAAGCTCTGGGCTTTGAGCCCTCAAGCCTGCAGTATTGTTTTACACATATGTTTCTACAGGAAGTATTGGGTCTTTTCTACCCGGGCGAAGGAAGGCCTTTGGGCAGAGTGGGAGGTGGGGTAATGAACCGACGTGGTTTGATTCATCTCTTGGGACTTGGCGTTGTGGCTGCTTTATTTCTGTCGTCGTGCCCTTCGCTTCCCTGAGCCTGAATCCCTAACGTTTTCTTCTGTAAGTTTTATTTTTGAGTCAGCGGTACCTTCCATTGAACACTCAACAATTAGGGCAAGGGTCGTTTCTTTTTCACAGCTGAACTTTCAAGGTTCTCAAATAATTGAGTCACTGAATAAATATATGGAGACGCATTACCTTCATTGCTGCTTGATGTCGTGCAGCATTAAACCATATATTCTCTTCTCAGCCCACCTACACACATCCGTTTCAGTGAATTTGAAAAACAACAACAAATCAAAACTGGGAATTGTGCTCTGTTATTCCAAGAGTGAATCAGAAGGGAGATTGAAAAATAGCTGAAGATGAGAACCTAGTTCTAAACAGATCAGGTTCCTCCAGGTTGGGAGGAGGGATCTTGGAAGTTCCCAGGAAAAAATCAGTGGAGTGAGAGAGCCCCCGAGATTGTTTGTTGTTTGTTGTTGTTAATCCTCACCTGAGGTTATTTTTTCCATTGATTTTTACAGAGAGTGGAGGAGAGGGAGGGGGAGAGAGAAACATTGATGTGAGACACATGGATTAGTTGTCTCCCACATGCAGCCCACCAGGGCCAGGGATGGAACCGGCAACCCAGTACATGCCCTTGACCAGAACTGAACCCCTACCCTTCTTCCCTGAGCTGGCAGGTGCGCCAGTCATTGAGCCACAAGGGCCAGGGGCGAATGATTAATGTTTATCTTTTATTGTGGTGATGTCTCCCACAACACTTCCTACCCTTGTAAGGAAAATCTCTTTATTTCTGTTTGAAACTTTGTGGTACTTTCCCTTAAAGAAAGTGTGAATTTTTGTACTTAGGTGCAAGCTGAGATTCAACCCTAACCCCCAGCATATTAAAGAAAAAGGGCTTTCCTTAAAATATGTTTAACTACACCTCTGGCCTGTGTGTCTCAGTGATTGGAGCTCCGACACCACAGGAAAGCATCCAGGTTCAATTCCGGTCTAGGGCATGCACCTGGGTTGCAGGTTCCAGCCCCCACCAGGCATCTTTGGGAGGCAGCCCATTGATGTGTTATCTCACATCCGATGTCTGCCTGTCCCTCCTACCCCCCACTCTCTATCAAAATCAATGGAAAAAAGTGTCCTTAGGTGAAGATTAACCAAAAAAAACAAAAAAGAACTATAATATGCTCCAGATCATTTCCATGTAGGGTTTTTTGTTTGTATATACTTGATTTTTATTGATTTGAGAGAGAAATTTGTTGTTCCACTTATTTACGCATTCATTGGTTGATTTTTGTATGTGCCCTGACCAGGGATCAAACAAACTTGCAACCTTGGTGTATCGGGACAACCCTCTAATCAACTGAGCTACCTGTCCAAGGCTATATATACTTGATTTTTAAAGGGAAGTGTTTGTGATTCCTTTTTCTATATTAAAGAAAGTAGAGCCTAGCACATGTATTACAAATATATTCTCGTTTTATAGTTATTCAAAATGTCCAGTGATCTTCAGCATTCCTGGATAATGCTCTTACATATTTGTCTTTCATCATAAGTTAGGTTTCCAGTGCCTGATTTTATCACTTGCTGATTGTTAGAGAGCTGTTTTGGGGCTATGTCAACATGCTCCCTTGCTACTAAATAAAAGAGAAAAACATTTAGTTCAGACTATTTTCAGATTTTAGCTTTCACAACGTTTTACTTTTTATTTGGATATGTTAGAGTCATTTCAAAGTCTCTAAGATGGGAACATGCCTGGTGTGTTAGAGGAGCAGCAAAGAGGCAGGAATGGGTGAGACAGTGAAAAAGGTGGCAGGAAGGAGATGAGGTTGGAGAGATAATTGGTGACTTGCTCCTTACCTTCCTATGCATTGCCATTGCCTTCCACTAGGTCCTCATCACCTCATGCCCCTATCTATTGACTAGCCAATATTGTTGGTAGGTAGATTTTTCACTAAACATTTGTTTATTCCTGCAGATTACTCTCTCTCTGGAAATGAACTGTAATATTTTAACAATTTATTGTCAATAACTTATTATGACACCATATTTAGTAGCAAGTTTCCATTATGTTTGTGAGAAAGAAACCTAAAATTGTCCTTTACAAATGCTTTTATATAATCATTCCTAAGGAAATAAAGAAATTTATAACAAAGTTGCTTTAAGCATAACTACTTTAATAAGTGGGCTGTAGTGCTTAAAGCTGAGAATAATGATTATCCTTAGTTGCTTTTCATTAGAAAATCTGTCTTTTTATTTTCTGGCCCGTTAAATATTTGGTTATGGCATGATCCATTTATGATGAACCATCTTAATGGTCTATACTGATTATTTGTTTCCTTGGTTTTATAATGCACACAGCATGTTTTACCTTTATACAGTTACTTTTTCTCACTTGATTCATTTTGTTTGGCACTGCTTGTCACCTTGGATTAGGTCTGACTTCTTCAAAGATGCCAGAAGCAATTACAGTATAGGCGAGGTTCTTCAATTAGCATTACATGGGCATTTTGATGTTTATGACTCACAGCTAGTGGGATTTAGTACAGTCAATGGTATGAAACATCATTGCAGCCAGTAACTAATAAAAGCTCATTAATTAAAGGTATCTAGCTCTATTTACCATGTGTGTTTTTTTCTTTGTGCATTTTGAAAAATTTCAAATTTAATTCTATTCTAAAATATGAAATTGTATGGCTGTAATTAAGGGCATTCTTCTCATATGCCCTTTAACTTTAGCATCATTATTATCTCATTTATAATAGCAACTTCCTAATTTATTTCTCTGTCCCTAAGTGGGAGGTTGCAAACTGGTGGCTCTGGATGTGTTTTCTTTGGCATGCATGTTATTTGAAAACTTTTGAATTAGTTGCCAACATATAAAAACTTAGGATTTCCAATTATTTGAAATACCTCTAGATTTCCAATCCTATCACTCCTCCACCCGATCAAATTCTTCTTTTTTTTATTATCTTCACCTGAGGATATTTTTTCCATTGCTTTTCAGAGGAAGGGAGAAAGAGAGAAACATTGATGTAAGAGAGACACATCGATTGGTTGCCTCTCAAACGCACCTGGATAGAGCCTGCAACCAAGGTACATGCGCTTGACCAGAATTGAACCTGAGACCCTTCAGTCAGAGGGCCGATGCTCTAACCACTGAGCAAACCCAGCAAGGGCTCAAATTATTCTTTAAACATAATATACTTTTGTATTTTCCCACCTTTGTATATGCATTCTCTCTGCTTAGAATTACTTTGCTCCTCTTTTTCCTGGATGATCCTCTATTTATTCTTTAACATATAGTGCTAAAACCCTCATCCCATGAAAAATCATTCCAGTTCCCTCAGGTAAGGTATTCTGCTCCCTCCACTATGCTCTTATATCAAATTTATTCATACTTTTATTATAGCACTTATCATGTAGAGTCATCATTGCTTTCTTGTGTACTTGTCTCTTCTGTTAGACTGAGAGTATGTAAGTTAGGTTTGATGTCTTCTATTCATAGTGCCTACAGCATTAGATACATAATATTTGTAGGATTAGATTTTTTTCTCTTTTCTCATTTTTTATCATTTTGTTTCCTATAGATAATCTGCTGGGAATCTCTTGGGTTGACAGTTCCTGGATCCCCATTTTGAACAGTGGAAGTGTCCTGGATTACTTTTCAGAAAGAAGTAATCCTTTTTATGACAGAACATGTAATAATGAAGTGGTCAAAATGCAGAGACTAACATTAGAACACTTAAAGTAAGTTATTGTAAGAAGGTGGCATCTTTGCCAACTAGAGATTCTGCAGTGAACAATTCTTTCAAGCTGTGGATCATGAAGTACAGAGTAGAAGTTTTGGAAGAACTGGAGTTTTGTTTGGGTTTGTAACAAATTTTGATGGGCAAAGGAATTATTAGTAGTCACTTGTTGCTGAGGAAGTCTTTTCTGTATAACTTCATATATTACTGTCCAGTTAAAATACAGCTATGAGGTTTAGATGTAGATCTGATGAGTGATTTTAGCAATGCAACTGTTATTCTCAACCTTGTTACTATACTTACTGTCTCTTTTACATGTTAATGTCTTTGGTAGGTTTATAGTAGATCTCTCTTTGTATACAAAGAAAATAAAATTTTAGTCAAACAAATGCAAAGTAAGATTCTTCAGACTTAGGATGTTAAGAGTTTATTACTGTTATAAAAGTTTCTGAAGTAAGTATGTAATAGTCTTTTTTTAAAAATCTGTCAGCTAAACATTAGGGGGAATTCATGAAATTAAATTTCTGTAGTATTTTAAATAGCTTTTGCTATGAGATAAATATTTATAACTATTAAGACAACTTATTTTTTAAAAATATATATATCTTTATAGATTTCAGAGAGAGCAAAGGAGAGGGAGAGAGAGAGATAGAAACATCAATGATGAGAGAGTCATTGATCGGCTTCCTCTGGCACACCCCTCACCGGGGATCGAGCCCGCAACCTGGGCACGTGCCCTCACCAGGAATTGAACAGCGAACTCCTGGATCCTAGGTTGATGCTTAACCACTGAGCCACACCTGGCCCGGTGACAACTTATTACTTTTAAACATAATCTGTCAGATCAAAAATACATCGGGGCAAGGATAAGTTTTTTGATATTTTCTAAATAGCAAAATATATTTAGTTGGATAGAATATGTAGTTGACATATACAGTCAAGGCATGAATAGTGTTCATGTATATTTTTATATTTTACATATATTTGTAGATCTCCTAGGTCAGGAAGCATTTTGGTTGCCTTTTTTGAAACATGCTCATCAGAGTACTTTCATGATGAAAATTTATGTTCATCATGAATTTTTGTAAGGAAGTTTTGCTGTTTAAAAACCAAATCTTATTTTATTTTTATTTCACTATCTCGGAAAATAGCCAGTTTTATGAAACAGCTAGGTTTTAGTATCAAACACAGGCAGTGTTAATTCTACTTACAGTGTTGTTGTACTTTTATATAATAATTTGAATGTTCTACTGAATATTTTGTTAGGGCATTTATAGATCTCTGAATGTCTGTGTTCTGTTTTCATTCAGTCAGATGGTTGGAGTGGAATACATCCTTTTACATGCTCAAGAGCCCATTCTTTTTATCATTCGGAAGCAACAGCGGCAGTCCCCTACCCAAGGTAAAATGTATAAACTTCAGCCATTGTTTTCTTCTTAAAATACCATGATTTATTTACTTTGTGAGCTGTACAGTTTTTTTGTTTATTTGCCTTATCAGGTTCTCTTTTGGGCATCCCTAAGACAACGTACATGTTCATTGCTTTACTAGGGGCACTCAGCAGACTCAGCATATAGTCATGTGTAAGATTTGTTATGTAATACAGTAAGGATACACAGTCAGATCAATAAGGGGAAAAGCCATATCAAGTGGGGTCTGTAGGAATCCATATGTAAGCTTCCTTTTCTTTCCCTCCTGTGAGGGGCCACACCAAGTACACTCTCCAGCAGTGAAATGCAGTCTCATGTGTATATTTCTGCTCAGGTAAGTCCATTTGAGACTCTGAGTCCGGAATTTTTATTGAGGGCTAAGCATGTAGACATCTTATGCCTGCTAAAATTCCACACCCTTAGAAGGAAATCAATCATATTTTTTGTACACATTGTCTAGGCAGACTGGTATAGCAGGCATAGTTTTGTCACTTAGGAAACATTTCAAAAGCCAAGTTCCACTAGTCACATGCTTTGACACCAGGGGTCTTCCAGAATGCCGAAAGACAACTCTGCAAGCACTAACAGAGCAACTCGCTATGTTGAAACCACCTCTTCCTGTGAGCACAATTGTTGGAATTCCAACTGAACCTTGAGCATCCCAAGTAACCTTTTTTTTTCATCTCAGTCCACTGAGTTTAATTCTGTTACAAACTACGTGTTAGGTGCAATTGCACCAAATTCATAGAAGGTCAGTTGAAAATCTTCATTGACACATTCAGCCAAAAGCCTTACCTGGGTTATACTACCAAACATAAACTTGCCTTAGAAATCACACTGAAGAGTAGAGAATTCAGATTTGATTTTGAATCAAAGAGTTACTTGACTCAAATAACACCTATTTCCGAAGATGACCAGCTACATCTCCTAATTAAATACTCTCATCAAGACATTTAATAACAACCCTTCTATTGATTCCACAGAATGACTTGTTAAAAAAGTTGTACTTCCAAAGTCAGGAATTTATATTTAGTTTATTTATTTATTTTTTTTAACATATCTTTATTGATTTCAGAGAGAGGAAAGGAGAGGGAGAGAGAGAGGTAGAAACATCAACGATGAGAGAGTCATTGATTGGCTGCCCTGGGCATGTGCCCTGACCGGGAATCGAACCCTGATCTCCTGGATCCTAGGTCGATGCTCAACCGCTGAGCCACGCCCGGCTGGGCAAGAATTTATATTTAGTTTAAAAGTCTAGAGTTTCTACCCAGAGAAAAAGAGAACCTTAGTCCTGGCCAGTGTGGTTCAGTGGGTTGGAGCTTCCTCCTATACACAGAAAGGTTGTGGGTTCAACTCCGGTCAGGGCACATACCTAGGTTTTGGGTTTGATCCCTGTTGGGGCTAGTACCTCTTTCCCTTCCCCTCGCTAAAAGTCAATGAAAATATCCTAAGGTGAGTATTAAAAAAAGAGAACCTTGGAACAAAGGCAAAACCAGGGATAAAATTCCCATGGTGAGAGGGTTCAAGGTATAGAAGCTATTACAAGGTGGTACCAGCCTCACTAGCAGCTGTTTTATTCCTTAGGACCCAGGACGGGGGCACAGAGGCAAGTTCAGCACATCTGATATCTTTACCCTGGGCCCTAATCCCTCTTGCTCTAAGGTCTTACTCCCCAAAGTGTGGTTGACTGACAGTAGCATTGGATCACTTGGGAACTTGTTAGAAATGCACTGTGCCTACTGAGTAAGAATCTGATTTTAACAAGATACTCAGGTGATTCAGATGTGTGTTAAAGTTGGAGAAGTACTGCTCTAGGGCAAGAGTTGGCAAAATTTTTTCTGTGAAGCTCCACAGAATAAATATTTTAGCCTTTGTGAGGCTCATGGGCTCTCTGATTGCTCAACTACTGCCATAGCAGCTGTAGATATTAATGTAAATGAATGGGTGTGGCTGTTTTCTACTATAACTTTATTTTATAAAAATAGGAATTGCCAGGCCCTGCCTTAAGTTTTAATATGGAAAAATGTCAAATTTTAGTTCTTTTAATGAAAATCTATTTAGTAGTTTGCATACATAGCTGTATTCATAGACCATTGTTTTTTTTCTCCTCCCAATTCTTTAGTTATCCCACTGGCTGATTATTATATCATTGCTGGAGTGATCTATCAGGCACCGGACTTGGGATCAGTTATAAACTCGAGAGTGGTAAGTGTCTTCACATTCTTTAAACACTAAAGAAAAGTTTTACTTGAGCTACCTTGCTTTCAAGAATCAAACAGCAGCTCCTTGTGTATGTTAGTATAAAGTGTTGATTATTAGAATGTTTTGAGCATTGTTACTGTGGGCCAACTCCATATTAAAAGTATTTACCATAGCCCTGGCCAGGTGGCTCAGCTGGTTGGAGTGTCATCCCATGTACTGAAAGATTGCGAGTTCGATTCCTGGGCGAGGTGCATATGGGAGGCACCTGGTTGATGTTTTGGGTGAGGATTTAAAAATAACAATAATAATGATAATAGTAATAACAAAAGTATATATCACAGCCCCAGCTATATAGAAATTCAAGTTCTGAAAAACAGAAAATTACTGCCTTTGCAAATGTAATATTTTGTATTTACTTTGGAAATTTTGGTTGATCAAATGAGAAATTCAGAATTCATTTTCTTTTTATAAGCTTACTGCCGTGCATGGCATTCAGTCAGCTTTTGATGAAGCTATGTCATACTGTCGATACCATCCTTCCAAAGGGTATTGGTGGCACTTCAAAGATCATGAAGAGCAAGGTAGGTAGGACACCTAGACCCTCCAAAAACATTTTTTAGTACTCTGAGAATGAAGCTGTTTTCTTTACTGCAGGGGTGGGGAACGTCTGTCCTGTGAGCCGTATATGGCCCATGAAATCATTTGATCTGGCCCTGCCAAGGCAACCACAGGCAGACTTGAAATTCAGTAAATCTAGGAACTTTTTTCATAGCTAATTTTTGTTTATTTTTGTTTAAAATATTGCAGATGTCCCTTTTTCTCCCCAATGACCCATTCCACCCCANCTAGTCCCTCTCCCCACCATTGTCTGTGTCCTTGGGTTGTGCATATATGCATATAAATTCTTTGGTTAATCTCTCCTCCTCCACCCACCCGCCCTCCTCCATCCCTCTGATGTTTGTCAGTCTCATCTATGCTTCCATGTCATTGAATCTATTCTGTTCATCAGTTTATTAAGTTCTTTAGATTCCACGTATAAGCGAGATCATGTGATGTTTGTCTTTCTCTGCCTGGCTTATTTCGCTTAGCATAATATTCTCCAGGTCCCTCCATACTGTCCCAAAGGGTATGAGATCCTTCTTCTTTATAGCTGCATAGTATTCCATGGTGTCTCACAGCTTTTTTATCCACTCATCTACTGATGGGCAAGCGGGCTGTTTCCAGATCTTAGCTATTGTAAATATTGCTGCTATGAACATAGGGGTGTATATATTCTTTCTGATTATTGTTTCAGGATTCTTAGGATATATTCCTAAAAGTGGGATCACTGGGTCAAAAGGCAGCTCCATTTTTAATTTTTTGAGGGAACTCCAGGCTGTTTTCCATAGTGGCTGCACCAATCTACATTCCCACCAGCAGTGTGCTAGGGTTCCCCTTTCTCCACACCCTCGCCAGCACATGTTGTTTGTTGATTTGTTGATGGCAGCCATTCTTACAGGTGTGAAGTGATACCTCATTGTGGTTTTAATTTCCATCTCTCTGATGATTATCGACGTTGAGCATTTTCTCATGTGTCTCTGGGCCATCTGTGTGTCCTTTTTGAAGAAGGGTCTATTCAGGTCCTTTGCCCATTTCTTAATTGGGTTGTTTGTCTTCCTCTTGCTGAGTAGTATGAGTTCTTTGTACACTTTGGAAATTAGCCCCTTATCAGATTCATCCTTGACAAATACGTTTTCTCAGACTATGGGGTTCCTTTGTATTTTGAGGCTGTTTTCTTTTGCTGTGCAGCAGCTTTTTAGTTTGATGTAGTCCCATATGTTTATTTTTTCTTTCGTTTCTCTTGCACTAGGAGGTGTATCAGTGAAAATTCCACTACGTGGGATTCTGTGACTTTACTGCCGATGTTTTCTTCCAGGATTTTTATGGTTCTGTGACTTATGTTTAAGTCTTTTATCCATTTTGAGTTTATTTTTGTGTATGGTGAAAGTTGGTGGTCTAGTTTCATTTTTTTGCATGTAGCTGTCCAATTTACCCAGCACCACTTACTGAAGAGACTGTCTTTACTCCATTGTATGCTTTTGCCTCCTTTGTCAAATATTAACTGACATAGCTAATTTTTAAGTTGATAATTTTGTATGGCCTGTGAATGATGTTATAAATATCCAAATGGCCCTTGGCAGAAAAAAGGTTCCCTACCCCTGCTTTGGGCAAACAGCAACTGACAATTTCTAGGTGTGTTTTACTTCTCCTTAGGAAGATTCTTCATAGGTAAGTGGTAATCTTTGATAAGTGCATTCAAGTTTTTTAATATTTGGAACATGCAGAGAAAATCAGTGATGAGGTAATCATGGTATTTCTTGCTTCCTAACTAGAGTCATATTGAAATCAGGAACCTGAATCTCCCAGTCTTAAAACTAGGAGAGCTGCTCTTAGAGCTGTATCCCCAGGTGGCCAGTCTGTTTTCTGATCTTTCCATGTTATCACCTGTTGTGATGCCAGGTTCCCTAGTTTTCATAGCTGCTAATCTGCTACTTGTTCTATACCATATTTTACCAATAAATACTAGAAGTGTGTCTATAGCAGTGTACCTGTATTCTGTATTTCCTTCTCTGAGAAAGGAATTCAGAATAAATTACTAATGGAAAAGTAGCCTTCAAATAGAATTCAGACTTGTGGCATGAGTGGTCTCTTATATACAGTTACATTTATTCTTAATAGTGGTTGTAGGCTGTAACATTAGATGTAGGAAAGTTTACATCAGTTAAATAAGGTTCTCCTATGAGCTCTTTGCCCCTATCCTAATGAAATATTTGGAGTAGAACTTATCTGGAACTCTTCATTTAGAGACAGTCCCCATAATATACAACCCCTCTGGGGAAATTCTATGTCATTAATTTCAGAATTTCTCTTGTAAGTTCTTTTCTTTCTTGTCTTTAGGATCTTCTGTTTGGTTTGTCCTGTTTTTTTGTTTTGTTTTTTCAGTGAATTATAGTCTTCATAATTGAGGATGGTAACTTGGGGAGTTTGTGAAAGTTGCATTTTCCATTTGCACTTAACTATGTTTCATGGGAAAAGACCATTTAATACACTTAAAATATACACAAGATAATTTCAAACAAATAATCTGGATTACGATTTCAGTAATTATGGAAAACTTTAGCCTTAAAATTCTTTTTTCTATCCATGCTTATATACTAAAACTAAAGTATCTTCTTTAAAAGGTACCTTTTATTTATTTATTTTAAAAATATTTTTATTGATTTTTAGAGAGAGAGGAAGGGAGAGGAGGAGAGAGAGAGAAACGTTGATAAGAGAGTAAAACATCGATTGATTGGCTGCCTCCTGCATTCCATGCCTCCTGCCAGGGATCGAGCCCGAAACCTTTGCACCTTATGATGCTCTAACCAACTGAGCCATACCAGCCAGGGTGACATCAGCTTTTTAAATGTTAGAATGTTAATTTCATTTAAGAGGGAGAGTTGGAACACTTCTGTGTATATGCTCCGTTTGACTTATTTGGAGGATTATGTTTGAACTAGCAGCCATAAAAAATAATGAAGTTTGAGTATATTCATGGTGGACAAAGATTTGTAAAATATAAAACACCAAACTAGGCAGTGTTTTGATTTGGTCTTCATATTTTAATAGATAAAGTTAAACCTAAAACCAAAAGGAAGGAAGAACCAAGCTCTATTTTCCAGAGACAACGTGTGGATGCTTTACTCCTAGACCTCAGACAAAAATTTCCACCCAAATTTGTGCAGGTAATAAGAATGTATGTGGTAATTTTGATTTGATACTGTTTCCTGGCACATTTATTTCTACTTTTAAAAATTATTTTTATTGATTTTTAGAGAGAGAGAGAAAGGGAGAGAGAAACATCGATTTGTTGTTCCACTCATTCATGTGTTCGCTGGTTGCTTCTTGTATGTGCCCTGACCAATGATTAGCTTTGGGATGACTCTCTAACCAACTGCCACCCAGCCAGGGCTGGTATATTTATTTTTAATTGAGAACTGTTTCAGATGTGACCTAAAAATACTGATTTTCCTCATTAGTTAAAAAATGATCTCTGAATCAAAGGAGAGGTTTTCAAAGACTTAATGGAGAAAGCAGGTAAAAGGAATGGAAGTAACACTGTTCTGTGCTCTTAAGTTTAATTTCTCATTGAATTTCAACACACTGTGAGGACTACATATAGATAATATTCTCATTCAAAGTGTTGCCAAAAATGTCATAGATAATAACAAAATTAGAACCTGAACCTCATGCTGTTTTTACTCTATGTGCTCACTTCCAGCCTGATGTAGTAGATATCTAAAAATGACAGAATAGTTAAAACTTTTGTAACAAAAAGAACAACATTTGATGCAGAAAGTTTGCCATTATAAATGGAGGAGGCAGGAGTAATAGTAAGAGTTACATCATAATGGTGTTTAAGTTTTATGAATGCCATTATGTTATTTTGGGGGTGTTCCAATAGCAATTGCAAATCCACCTGCCATTCTACTAAATGAACTTTTGAAGTGAAATAGGTATGAGATGGAATATGTGAACATGTTATTCTCATGGTTAGTCTCATTTCTTATGGACCCTTTACAAGGCTGTGTATACATAAGGTCATATGCACTGCTTTTCTTGTGGGGGGCCTAATTAAGAGATTTTTTAAGGGTAATTTTAGATTAAATGAGATTTTTCACACCATGAGATGACTTTAGAACAGCCTTCCTTTTCCCCTTTCCTGACTTCACTCTGTAAGAGATATATGCTATTGGAATGGTGATGTGGTAGTGAAGGGAACAGAGGACACAGTTGGAACTCAGGACAGGAAAGCCAGTTAAGAGAAATCTCATGATTACATGAAGATGAAACAGTGTTTGATGAATAAATGAATTATAGCTGTGTGTAGGATGATCAGTAATCACTATAGAGTGTAAGAAGTTAGGTATGGTTGATCATTTATCCAGTGAGTCCTGTATAGTATATACTGGGGAGACTGGGGGAAGAACACCTAGACCTGCACAGTACAGTAGCCATCAGGCACATGTGACTAATGAGTATTTGAAACATGGCTAGTCCAAATTGAGTTATGATATATGTGTAAAATACATACTGGGATCAAAGACTTGGTAAGAAAAAATGTAAAATATCTTATTAATAATTTAAAATATTTGTTATATGTTGAAATGATAATATTTCAGATATATTTGTTTTAAAATATAAAATGTTTGTGAAAATGTGACTACTGGAAAATTTTAAATTACATATATAACTTGTAATTGTGGCTCACGTTATGTTTCTTTTGGACAATGCTGATATAGAAAATGGGACTAGAACATGCAAAAGAAGAAGTATGAGTGTTAATGAACATATACTCAGAAACCAGAAAGTCCTTAATGTATTTTCCTAGTTCCTTGAGGTATAAAGTTAGATTGTTTATTTGAGAACTTTTCCTTTTTAATATAGGCATTTATCACTATAAGCTTCCCTCTGAGTACTGCTTTTGCTGCATCCCATAAGTTTTGGTATGCTGTGTTTTCATTTTCATTTCTCTCCAGATAATTTCTAATTTCCCATTTGATTTTTTTTTTGACCCATTGGTTGTTCAGGAATGTGTTGTTTAATTTCCACATATGAGTTAGCAGAAGGAAAAATATAATAAAGATTAGAGCAAAAAATAAATGAATAGAGACTAAGGAACAGTAGAAAAAAATCAGTGAAACTAAGTTGGTGTTTTTTAAAAGGTAAACAAAATTGATAGACTTTTAGTTAGACAAATAAAAAAAGAGAGAAGACTCAAGTAAAATTAGAAATGAAAGAGGAAACATTACAGCTGGTGTCACAGAAACAAAATCGTAAGAGATGAGACTACTATAAGTAATTATATGCCAACAAATTGAACAACCTAGAAGAAACTCCTAGAAACATATAACCTACCAAGACTGAGTCATGAAGAAATAGGAAATCAGAACAGATCAAAAACAAAGAAGGGGACTGAATCAGTAATCACAAACCTCCCAAGAAACAAAAGTCTACCACCAGGTGACTTCACAGGTGAATTCTACCAAATGTTTAAAGAGAACACCAATTCTTCCAAACCCTTCAAAAAACTAAAGAGGAAGGAACACTTCCAAATTCATTTAATGAGGCCAACATTATTCTAATACCAAAGACAAAGATACTACAAGAAAACTAGTCCTGTATCCCTGGTGAATATAGATGCAAAAATCCTTAGTGAAACACTAACAAACTGAATCCCACAGCACACGTCATAATCAAGTGGGATTTATCCCTGGGATGCAAGGATAGTTCAACATACTAAAATAAGTCAATGTGATACATACACCATATTATCAGAATAAAGGATGAAAATCATACTGTGATCTCAATAGATGCAGAAAAAGCATTTGAAAAAATTTACCACCCTTTTGTGATAAAAATGCTCAACAAACTAGGTAGGTTTATAATTGTTCAATACAATAACAAATAAATAATAATACAAGAATAAACTCTGTTTGTGGTGCTCACAGCTGTAAACCTACTTTTTACCCAGTCTGTATATGTATGCATATGTGTGTATGTATGTATGTATGTAAAGGTGTAATAAGTTTGAAGGTAGGTAGATGGAAGGGGACTTGCGTCATTAATCTTCACCTGAGGATATACTTTCATTGATTTGTAGAGAGTGAGGAAGGGAGAGAGAGAAACATTGATTAGTTGCTTCCTGTATGCGCCCCAACTTGGAATCAAACCCTCAACCTAGGTATGTGTCCTGACCAGGAATAAAACCTACAGCCTTTTTGGTGAATGGAATGATGCTCCAACCAACTGAGCCATGTGGCCAGGGCGACTTTTCTGGTTTAACATAAGAGGTAGAGTTATCAGCTGAGGGTACGGTGTAGGCTGTGAACCTTGTGGAGGAAGGAAGAGGAGGAAAGTGTTTTAAAGCATTTAACTTGAGTAATAGGAAAAGGGAGACAACAGAACTCAGTTGAGTAAAAGAACTGCTGTACAAAATGAAGGATCTGACCTTGTTCCTGGCTCCTGGTGCCCCCATCATTTTTTCCCTCTGCAGTTTGCTTTTTAATAGTATACTCATCAGAAAGCTTATGTTCATAAAAAAATACCTCTTTTTCCTCTGTGCTTCCCATACCTGCCAACTTTAAAAGTCAGACTGGTCATCCAAACTTCATTCTACTTTTTTTCTGGCTGATATCCCCTAAGCAGAAAAATCTCTAAAGTCTTGAAAGGTTCCATCTTCCCTTCCATTGGATTCTACTTAGCTGATATTTGTAAATCAGCGTAGCCTGGATGCAGAGGCAGAGGGCTTTGTAGGTGTTCAGGGGTTATGTCTGACTCTCTTGTTCTAGTTTTAGATTTGTCTTTTCTGGAACAGGTGAAAAGGAAGTAGAAAATGCTAAATTTATTTTTTATTGTATGTACATGGTTTGTCTTCATGAAGTCATTTATAATGTAATTTGAATGAAGGTGTAATTTTAATAAGAATTATAAAGTCAAGAAGAAAACTTTGCTAACCTGCCCTGTTTCCTTCTACTTCTCCCTCCTCCCTCTCCTTTGTTTTCTTTTTTTTTAATTACAGCAAAAGTCTGGAGAAAAGCCTGTCCCAGGTACGGTTCGTCTGATATTCTTGTTAAACTTGAAGTAAGACCGAACAGCCTGTTTAACTCAGCATCAACGATAGCATGTGAGATGAGCTACTGTCATTTTGTCCTTCTAGGCTCTCTGATTGTAGTTTGTTTCTTCTAACGTTTGAGATTTGCCGAACTGCCAAAAGATGGTGCTTTTGTGGTAGTGATATTAGTACTTAAAAGATGAATCAGAATGGGAAGAGTAGGAATTAGGAAGGGGTGGAAAAACTGAGATGATTTGAAGTTGTTGATTCAAGTTTCAGTGTGGAAAAGGGTCTTCAGGTTTATCATTGAAAAGAGAAGAGATATTGAACTATCCATTGAACTGGGTTGAAATAATCGTGTATAATATCTTATTTAAATGGCATGTGTTTTTGTCTAGTATTACAAATTTGCTTGCGTTATGTTTCTGGGTTGTAAATGGGTTCCTATACACCTGCCTGATGAAACAGCTAAATTTAGAACTTGAGATAAGCAGTTCTAAATGAATTGGAAAGAGTCTGAGCTATTCACATTAATGTTTTCTAAATGGATCTCGTCCTTCTGTCCTTCTTCCCCTCCAAAACATATCTGCTTTTGATGGGTAGTGGATCAGACAAAGAAAGACACAGAACCTGCACCAGAAGCTGTCAAATGTGAGGAGAAGGAGACCACAAAGAACATCCAGCAGACAGTGAGCGCTAAAGGTCCCCCTGAGAAACGAATGAGACTTCAGTGAGTATTGGACAGGAGAGAAGCCTGCAAGACTTCTGTCCATTATTACACCTCATTACTGTGGCAGGCTCTCGAGCTTTAAAATTCTTTGTCACAACTCTCTCCTTTGTACAGAATGTGCTTGTTTTTTAAGAAAGGATATAAGGACCCTCATGCTTTCCACATGGATATTTGTATGTATCTTTTGTAACCTTTCCCCTGCAGGACTTGAGCAGCCCCCTCCCTCCCTCACATGTGTACTGCTTATATATGTTTAAAACCAAATAAAGATATTTGTCTAAATTCCTTTATCATGATTTCCCCCCGTTAATTTTCTCTCTGAAATATTTCCAGGTACACTTTGTAAACACAAAGGATTAATGTTAAAAGTAGTAACTAAGGTTATTTTCTCTTTGAGTTGCATATCTCTCAAAATTAAAATAATAAAATTACTAACAATTTGAATGATAAAGAAATGGAAAAAACCTCACTCACCTATACCATCACCCTACAAATACTATAACAGTTTTGTGAATGTTCTTTGTCGTTTTCTGTGTATAGGTATTTTAGAAACCAAAGCTTGTAGTTATTCTGTTCATATAATTTTACTTTATCATAGTATTATGTTTGTTGTAAGCACTTCTCCACATTTACTTAGTTTTTATAGATTATTTTAATGACAGAATAATTCCTGTGAGTGTATGGTTTCTTAAATTTTTCCTGTGTTCTACTTAGGTTTTCCCCTGTTTGCATTATTTTAAATAAGGCTGTTGATTTACATTTACCTATAATGACTTTTCAATATTTAGTATTTATTTCCTTAGGATAGAGTTCCAGTGGTAGAATCACCAGAATCTGTACTTTGCTCCTAGGCGATATTTCCAAGTTATTTTTCTCAAAAGGTTTGGACCAGTTGTCACTTAAACAGCAAAGTATGAAAATTCCAGGCCCTCCAGAATTTTACTATCACTATGTCATTTTATGTTTTTAGTGTTAATTAAGAAGCAAAAAATGTTTTTTTATTATTGTAACTGGTTGAATAATCGCTCATCTTCGACTTTTGCATTTATGAAATGTCTGATTTTTTGTATTGTGTAAGATTTTTCTTTCAGCTTTTTATTTTGACATAATTCAGGCTTACAGAAAAGTGTAAAAATAGTATGAAGAATTTCTACATATATATATACACACACACACACAGACGCCTTTTGCCTAAATTCCTCATATGTTAACATTTTTCCATATTTGTTTTATTCTTTAATCTTTTTCTGTCCTCTCCCCCATATCTAACTCTTGCCATCAGTTGCTGTTTTCCTCTCTCTCTCTATGTATATATATGATACACATGTATATGTACACCTTTTACTTTTGGATCAAGAGCCAATTGCAGATGTGATGCCCATTTCCCCTAAGTACTTTTGTGTGTATTTCCTAAAATCAAGGCCATACAGTTATCAAAATTAAACTGGTATGATACCATTACCTAATCTGTAAGCCTTACTCATATCTTACCAGAGGTGGCAGGAATGTCATTTACAGCAAAAGAATATCCTGAATTACGCATTGGATTTTGTTGTACTGTCTCTTTAGTCTGCTTTAATCTGGAATAGTTCTTGTTTTTCATGACTTGATATTTAAAGAATTTAGGCCAGTTATTTTGTTGAATGTTTGTAAGTTTTCTTTGATATATTGTCATGATTTAATTCACCTCACACACTTCTGTCAGGAATAACATGGAAAAGATGCTTGTGGAGGCACATGCTATTAACTTGCCTCTTTTCTGGTGATGTTAACTGTACTTGGTTAAAGTAGTGTCTGTCAGGTTACTCTACTATAAAGTTTCTATTTTTTCTTTTGTAATTTAGAGGTATCTTGTGGGGGAAATAGTTAGAGGTTCTGTAAATACCCTGTTAGTCCTCAAACTTTCACCTACTAGTTAGCATCCATTGATAATTCTTGCCTGCATATGATGGTTGCCAAATGGTGATGTTTCTGATTCCAGCATTCTTCTATGTCTATTAGTTGACTTTTTGCTATAAAGATGAGAGCTTTCCTTTCTCCCTTTCTTATTTATTTATATCATTTTGGACTTCTAGATTCTTATTTTACTCGGTGAGTTATATTTCTTTACTAGTATTACTTATATTGATGCTCAAATTGTCCCAGCTTGGGCCAATGGGAGCCCCTTCAAGTTGATTCCTATGTCCTTTTGAGATGACCCTGTCATTCATTGTGTATTTTCTTTACATTTGGGCACAGTAGGATATTCCAGGTTCTTCCCAAATCTGGAATCAGCCATGTCTCTAAGGTCCCTAGTTCCTTTTGGTAGAGAATGCATTTGGAAATCAGGATATTTGTGCGAGGCATATTTGTTTGCTACTGGGGTGTCATTGCTTCTAGGCCCTCTCAGCTGACAGAGTTAAGAAATAGATACATACTTAGATATAAGTGAATACACATACATCTCCACTCGTATATTTATGTTCATTAAAAGCCATCAATTTATACTCATACCACCAATTCCAGTCCAACACCACAGGGTTGACTCTGTTCTATATGTGTAATTCTCACCTTGATGAGAATTTTGGTTCCTGTTATCCACAGTATTTTTATTTACTTGCTTAATCCTATAATATCAAAGTAGTTTTAGAATCGCTAACCTATACCTCTGCCAAAAAGAGATCCCTAATTAGAGTTCAGAATTTGCTTATTTCTTCCTATGTTTAGCTTGAAGATACATAGTTTAGATATTGTGTTTAGAAATTACTTTGGTTATTTTTCTCTCTCTCTTCAGTGTGGTTACATTACTCACTTATTAGATTGTTTGCTTCATTTGCTTCTTATTGTATTGTTTGGGGGCATGTGAGATGTCAACTTGGTTCTAAATGTCAGAACTGTCAAAAAAGATTCTAAGTATCATACCCCTTCATCCCCTGCCCTATTCATTTCTTCTGTCTTTTCCACGTCATTCCTACCCATCCCCGCAAAGTAACCAACCTAATTAATCTCTAGTTTACCTGTACTGTATTTATTTTGCACACATGAATAGATATTTTCTTATTTCCCCTTCTTATACAAAAAACGGCACATTATATAAACTTTTTGTACTTTGCTTCTTTTCTACTTATTTAAGCATGAACTTTTGACATAAAGATATTAACTCTGTCTTTGTCGTATTTGCTTCAAGTACTTTTCCAGCAAAGCTCCTTTTCCTACAGCTACATTACTGCAAAATATCACTTACAGAAAAGCACACAAAATATTAGACTACAACTTACAGTACCTGCGTAACTCAACATGAAGGTAAAGAGATTGAACATTGCCAGTCCCCCAGAACTTTATGTTCCCTTCTGTTTACAATGCTGTCCTTCTGATCAGAGGCCATCCTTATCCTCAGTTGTATGGTAATTACTTGTTTACATTTTTACCATATAACGATGTATCCATAAATAAATGTTTTTGATTTCCTATTTTTTCTAATTTTTTTTTTAAAACTTATTCTTTTATTTAAGTTTAGTTGCTATACAATCTTATATTGGCTATATTAGTTTCAGGTGTGCAATACAGTGATTTGACATTTTGTACCTCACAGTGTGATCACCCCACTAATTCTGGTGATCATCTGTCACCATGTAAACTTATCACAATGTTATTGACTATATTCCTCTTTCCCTTTTCACCGATTCCCCCAACCCGTCCCTTCTGTAATCAGTCCCTTTTGGATTTTTATAGAGACTTCATTATGTAGACGTAATTAATTAAATCATTGACCATTGGTGATTAAACGCAGTCTCCAGCCATTTCCTCTCCCTGGGGTTGGGACTGAAAGTTCCACCCCAACCCTCTAATCACATGGTTTGGATAACCAGCCCCCATCCATAAGTGACCTAGGGGTATTACAAACATCACATCACTAACATCACAAAAGATACCTCTGTGGCTCTCCTTAGGAAATTCCTAGGGTTTTAGGAGCTCTGCCAGAAAACAGATGAAGACCAAATATATTTTTCTTAATATAAACCACAGTATCACACCTAATGATTAGTGATGTTGAATATCTTTTCATGTGCTTATTTGCCATTTGTATATCTTTTTTAACAAAACATTTTATTTTTATTTATTTATTTATTTTTAAACATATCTTTATTGACTTCAGAGAGAGGGAAGGAGAGGGAGAGAGAGATAGAAACATCAATGATGAGAGAGTCATTGATCAGCTGCAGCCCGCAACCCGGGCATGTGCCCCGACCAGGAATCGAACCCCGATCACCTGGATCCTAAGTCAATGCTCAACCGCTGAGCCACACCCGGCCGGGCAAACATTTTATTTTTTCATCCTCACCTGAGGATGTATTTTTTCCATTGTTTTTCTGAGAGAGTGGAAGTGGGGAGAGAGTGAGAGACACATCAACTTGGTTGCTTCCAGCATGCGCCCCAACCGGGGCGGGGGACCCAGCCTGCGACCAAGGTCTGTGCCGTCGGCCGGAATCAGGCCCAGGACTTTCAGTCCTCAGGCTGACGCTCTAACCACTGAGCTAAACTGGGTAGGGCTAACAAAATATTTATCTTAAATAATCAAAGTGATAGGGAAGATTTGTGTATCTTTGGAGAGATATTCAAGTCCTTGGTACATTTTTAAATTAGTTTTTTTGTGTGTTGAGTGGGAGTTTTTATATATTCTGGATATAAATCCTCTATTAAGTATGTGATTTGTAAATATTTCCTATTCTGTGGGTTGCTGGTGATTTTGGTGTCATAGCCAAGCAATCATTGCCAAATCTAATGTCATTACGTGTTTCTGCTGTGTTTCCTTCTAAGTATTTTACAGTTTAGGCTCTTATATGTAGGTCTTTGATCCACTTTGAGTTAACGTAGGATGTTAGGAAAGGTTCCAGCTTCATTCTTTTGTGTGTGGATATACAGTTTTCCCAGCACCATTTGTTGAAAAGACTGTCATTTCTCCATTGAAGAGTCATGGCACTCTTGTCGAAAATCATTTAGCCACATATATGAAGTTTTCTCTTTGGGTACTCCTCCATCGATCTGTATGTCTTTGTGCCAGTACCACACTCTTGATTACCGTAGCTTTGTGGTAAGTTTTGAAATCAGGAAGAATGAGGCCTCCCACTTTGTTCTTTTCTTTCAAGATTGTTTTGGCTGTTTGGGGTCCCTTGAGATCCCATGTGAATCTTAGGGGTTACAGTTCTGTACCGCCCATTTTGTCAAAGTTTGAAGATAGTTTTATATATTTGTCCTATTGTTCTAGTTCTTATGATGTAAGCACATTTGGTGCTTGTAACTCCACCGTGGCAGAAAACAGAAGTCTAGTAGTTTTAAATTTTGTCAAACACATTTTATACTTTTTTTTAATCTCTTGAAATAATCATATTTTTTTCTTTTATTCTGCTAATGTGATCAGTTACACTGCGTTTTTTACCCAAATATTAAGCAGTCTTATATTTCAGGAATACACTCTACTTTGTCATGATGTCTTTTTATTGGAGTCAGTTTGCTAAGATTTCGTTTAGGATTTTTATATTTAATTTTATGTGTAAGATTGGTCTGTAATATTCTCTTTTCTAGACGTTCTTTTTTGTTTTGGTAACTAGGTTATGTCAACATCATAATCAGTTGGGAAATATTCTCTCATGTTCTGTGGAATAATTTTGTAAAGAGTTTTGTTATTTCTCAAACATTTGGGCAAAAGTTACCCATGAAACTTATTTTTCTTGGGTAGAAGACATCTAGTTAGATTCACTTTCCTATCTATTCAGATTAAAAATATTTTTATCAGATTTTATAAATTATATATTTCTACTAATTCATTTGTTTTAGGCTAAAGGTTGTTTACATATTGTGATCTTTTAATGTCTCTAGGCTTTCTAGTTATGTTCCCATTTTTCCATTCCTGACAGTTATCATTTATATCTTCTCTTTTTCTTGACCAGTGTTGCAAACATTATTTTATTAATCTTTTCAAAGAGCTGTGCTTTTCCTTGACCTCTCTGTTGCATGTTTGCTTTACTCACTTAGTGAATCTTGGTGGTTTATATTTGTAATTGAGGATCTATACTGAGCAATATATTTACTCAGATTACATTTCTATTTATATATAAATATATATATATTTATGTTTTTCAGTGAATGGAGGTTATGCCTCTGGTGATTTGGGGGGAGGGGACAGGATCTGTAAGTAATAGTGATGTCAGAGGAACTGAAGGGCCAGACCTCCCAGACACGAGTGCGAATGAGGCTCTTGATGATATTTTCAGAAAATGAATTTTCTGAGACTCACATGGAAGGATGGGATGTGGAGGAAGGCTTTATTTGCATAAAGTTATACTTCTTGGGTTCCAAAGTCCCATGCCTCTTAAGCCAGTCCTGGTAAAGGGGTATTTGGGAGTTCAGCAAAGCCAGAAACAAGACCAGTGCCCAGAGTTTCTGTTCCATATTGCAGCCAGGTGTGTGTAGTGTTCAGGCCAGATTAGAGCCCATAAGTCCATCTGTGGAGCGCAGCATGGCTGTGTGCCATGTGCTCACAGGGGAGTGCAGCCCCCTGCGCAAGTCCCAAGAGGGTCCGGCGCCCTGGAGCCAAGAGCAAGTGGCTCCTTTGTCTAGAAGTTTATATATTTAGATCTTGCAATGGCCACTCCCATTCTGGCCGACTGTCTGTTTCCGGGTGTGATTGACAGGCAAGCATTTTCCCATGTCACTCCGACCTTACTAGATATGTGCCTAGACTGTCTTTGTCCAGTCCCTCCCCCATTGATGAGCAGGGAACAGACTTGGACAGTGTTAAATGTAGCTTTTTGGCAAAGCTGTATAAATGGCATGGTTATATCGTCTTCCCTTTTACTCCTTTCCTGTTAAATAACAACCTGATTATTACAACAGTATCAGTAGATCTTCTGGGTGTGGTAGTTTCCCATCCCTCTGGTAGCCGTAAGTTACCTGAGGCACTGACTTCCTTGCCTTCAACACTAGTTACTCCCTAGAAATGTTTTCTGTCCTTGCGGTCTTTAGCGTTACAACTTGTTTCTTCCTTTCGGTCTTTTTCTCCCCCTTGCTCGTTCTCTGCTTGCTTCATTTCTGTTGCCTTTGTGAGCTATTCTTTGTCAGGGGGTCCTAGTCTGGGCCCTTTTCCTTTTCCTTTTCTCTGCTCCCTCTACTCTCAGGAAATCCTCAACCCTGCTTATGACTTTTAATTATCTTCTCTATACCGGAGACTCACAAATGTATATATTTAAGTGAGATTTCTTTGCTGAATTTGAAACTGATTATTCATTCAGCTTATCCCCTTCCCCCCCACTTGTCTCTTTCTCCATCAGTGCAGGTCAAGGGAGTAACAATAAGGGTCCTGAGGTGGGAGTATGCTTTGGTGTGTTAGTGGATCAGCAAGGAGAACAGCTGTATGAACAAAGGACAGAATAAGTAGGAGACGAATCAGAGAGGTAAAGAGGGAGGGATGGGTAGGGGCGGCAGCAGGCGTTTTGGGTAGGACCTCGTAGAACACTGTATAGACTTTTACTGTGAATGACATGGGAAACCATTGGAGTATTCTGAGCGAAGTAATGATAGGGTATGACCTGTTGTAACAGAATTTACTCTCTCCTGTGTGGGAATTGAGTGCTGGGGATAAGAATGGAAGCAGAAGACAAGTTAGGAGGTTATGGGAATAATCAATGTGGGAGACGATGGTAGCTAACCAGTAGGATAATTGTGGGTGTGGTGAGAAATGATCAGATTCTAGGTAAATCTTGAAGGTTGAAACAGCAGGAGTTGCTGATTGGATGTGAGATTGGACAAAAAGGAGAATCAAGGGTGACTAAGATTTTTGTTCCGAGCCTCTCAAAGGATAGAATTATCACTAACTGAAGTGGGGAAGACTGTGGGACAAGCTGGTGTAGGGGTGAGGGTGGGAGGGAAGATAAAGAATGTAGTTTGGACATACTTATTTTGAGATGCCAATTCAACATTCAAGTGGTGATGCCAAGTAGGCAGCACAAATCTGGATTTTTAAAGAAGTCCCAGCTGGAGATACACATTTTGGAGTTATCAGCATATATGTGGTCTTTAATACCGTGAGATGGGATGAGATCACCAATAGGATGAGTGCAGAGAGGGAAAAAATGTCCACAGACTGAGCACTAGAGCACTCCAACATT